AATGTCGATGAACTTAGGGCTGTTTGAATGAGGTAATCGATTTGATCGTTGGTGGATTCAAGTTATGAGCTAATCATTTTGGTATCTGTTGAATCAAGCCATTTTGGTATCTGTTGAATCAAGCCATTCTGATATCTGTTGAATCAAGCCATTTTGGTATCTGTTGAATCAAGCCATTTTGGTATCTGTTTATGTGTATCTATTTATAAGCCATTTCCTTATTATGATGAGTTGTGCCTGATATTTGGAAAGAGTAGAGGCAATGAGAAGAGGGTTAAAATGGTAATTTGTTGTCATTCAGAGAACATTTACCAAACAATCATATTTCATTCAGCACTTAACCATTCTGACCCTCTTAACCATTCTGACCACTTAACCATTTTGTACAAAACCATTCAGCAACTGCCAAACAGCCCCTTAGTCTTTTATGATTTAAAAATTTCTTTTTATTCTCATAGACCCTCACTCAAGCATTTATAGCCACAACTTTCTTCTCTAAATTTCAGCATTAAATTCCTTTCACCTTTTAACCTATATTTCAAAATCTTAAACTCAACATTCATATTTTCAATTTCCTTTATGATTTCAGCCTTTCAAGAATTTAGCTTATTCACGTTTTCAGATGATGAGTATAACTTAATAGATTGTATGCATAATGCATATCAAGTCGAACAATTCAAACCACACAAGCAACATAGTAATAGAGTTGTAAAGCTTAAAAAGCTAACCGAGTTATTTGCAATCCCTAAACTACTTAGTAATTACTGCCCAATAAAAATATAATTAATAAAGATGCCTAACATTGACAACAAAACAATGAATGAGTCCAATAAAAAGAATAGATATACAACTATGTTTATAAATTGAAAAAACAAAACAAGAAAAAGAAATATGGGAAAATGGGTGAAAACAAAACAATACTCGTAGAGTTTGGAGAGTGGAGGGGAGTTCGATTAAGGGCTAGAATCGTAGATTGAAGTAGAGTATGGAGACAAGTAATCCTTGTCGGCGTTGCTTATATATAAAATTGGTCTGGCTTTGGAATTTATCGAGTTCTTTTAACTATTAACCTAATAAAAGTCTTAAAAGTTTGGGTCAAATAAAAGTTTTGAACTTTGGTGAAATAGAAGTAACCTGGGTCTCAGTTCTCGAACAAAACAACCCACTCAAAAACCGAAAAAATCAAAAAAAAAAAAGACCATGAAAAAATAGAGGTCAAAGAGTGGTGTTTAGCACTTCAATCTACGATACCGCTATTTCCCAAATGACCGCTATTAACTGCCCAGCTTGTTGCGCCATGTTATAAGATTTTCCCAAATTAATTAGCAGTATCCAAATGATCTTCCATTATATAAAGATCCATCGATATAGACATCTAGTCTCCGGTTAGGTTTTTTGAACATGAGTCCCTTCCCTGGATCTTCCTTCAAATATCTTAGAATCACAATCTTCAAATGATCTATTGATGGGTTCCTAAGAAATTGACTCACGATGCCGACAGCAAAACTTATATCAGGACGGGTGTGAGTTAGATACATCAGCTTACCTACCGATCGCAGATATTGCCCCTCATCAATTGTTGGTTCATCTCTCTGAGGCCCTAGCTTGGTATTAGGGTCCATAGGGTCTCAATTGGTTTGCACCAACCATGCCAGTTTCACGTAAGAGGTGAAGCGCATACTTGCATTTGGAGATTGAGATGCCCTCACAGTTCCTTGCTACTTCCACTCCTAGAAAATATTTTAGAAAGCCCTTCTTTAATTTTGAACTCTTCAGATTGTAGCCTTTTAAATCTCCTCATTTTTTCTTGATGATTCCCTTAATGTCATCAACATATACTATTAGAGATGTGATCTCCCATCTGAGAAGTATTTGACAAACAATGTATGATCTGCTTATGTGCTAAACCAAGCATTTAAGTCCATATAATGCTTTCTTCAGCTTGCAAACCTTCCCATGGTTCTCCTTGTTCTCAAATCCATAAGGGATGTCTATATAGACTTCCTCAATCAGATCTCGTTCAAGAAGGCGTTCTTGACATCAAGTTGAATTAGCGGCCAACCCTGATTAGCTGCAATGAACAATAAAACACGAGTTGTATTAAGCTTGGCTATAGAAGCAGAGGGGTTTCCTGATAATCAATTCCATATGACTGAGTAAACCCCTTAGGCACTAGACGAGCTTTGTATCTGTCTATACTCCAATTTGTTTTTTGTTTAATTTAGAAAATCCATTTGCAACCAACTGTTTGCTTCCTAGGTGGTAGATCAGTTAACACTCAGATGCCATTTCTTTAAAGATCATTATACTCCTCTAAGGTTGCTTCGCGCCATTTCTGAATCCTTAGAGCCTCATAAATCGAGTTAGGTACAATGACCTTGTCTAGGGACGTCAAGAATGCCCTTGGAGACAATTTTTGGTAAGAGGTGTGGCTGTGAAAGGGATGTTGGGTGCATGATCTTTTACCCTTATTCTTTGGGCAATAGGGAGATCCAATGTATGATCACCAAGTAGAACTTAGTTGTGAATCAGAAATTTCATCTTGTATGTTTTCTTGTTCAGCTTTGCCCGGGAAGTTTCATGACTTTGTTGATTTGTTACAAGCATGTCTGGATTTTTCCTACTTTCAAAACTTTACAACAGCATCGGGAAGAAGAAGGTGTTTGTGATAGACATTGAGTGACTGTTCGGGTACAGAATTTGACTGAGAGTTATACGATTGAGACATAGGGTAGATCAAGTCTGGATCCGGATAGGTTGGAGTACTAGAGCTATTTGATGGATGAGATAAGGTGGAATGAGCTTGAGTATTTGATGAAGAAGATAAGGTGGAGCGAACTCAAGTTAGTGAACCTGAGTTCATGAGGTATGTCGATTCCCAACTCTGAAATTCATGCATGTTATTCTCCTCTTGAATTACAGAATTGACATCCAAAATATTACATACTAACATTAAAGAATAATAATTTTAGATTCTAAACCTAGTTAGGAAATAAGAAATTATAAAATACCAATTTAGTTTAAATAAATTATATATATATTTAATTTATTAATTAATGTATATAACGGGTACGAGACGAGGATGGGCAGGGAGTGCAATACTCGTCCCTATCCCTATCCCCATTTTGAGACAAACGGGGATCCCCGTCCTCACCCAGGGCGGGTAGACCGGGTTCCCTGATGAGTCAAGGGCCATTCTCAATTCCCATGCCTATTTGAGATATAGGGATAAGCATATTAAAAAGACAGATGGCTTGAGAGAAAGAAGTAGGATTTCTAACCTACAACTTTGATACCATGTAGCTGGTTAAGAAGTGTGTGAAAAGCTTCATTTCAACTTGAATACAACGTACATATTTATATACAAACAAATCTGTAACGGCCCCTATAAATCAGCCTCTAAAAGATGATACAATTTCTATCTATTAAAGAGAGAATCAACAATTATGAAAGTAATCTCTAAGAATCAGCTTATACAGATTATATGATATCCCGAACATGATTTCCTACAATCACCTCTACCATCGACATAAAGTACCAAAACACATGTAATTCCATGAAACACGAATGAGGTTCACTTTGAAAGTAGGAGAAAATGACCTATTATTCTCTCTTTGTTATTCATCAAAGTGAGCTAGCTGAGAAAATATAATCTCTTACCAAAACTCGACCCATTATACCATTTATGGATTATAGATAGCAAGTCTAAACACCTGATGATAAAATAACAACTTCTTGTCCCATGAGTGATTTGACATTTAGACCGGGACATGACTCAGGCTGATAAATATGCAATTTTTTATCCAACCAAAATAGATGTAAAAAAATCAGGGAGATGAAATGAGATTCAAAACTACCCATATCTTAAAACCCTGCACCATTTCTTCACCTGCCTGCCTCACACCCATGGTCCAGTTGATAATAGATGCATATACCAAGATACAAAGTTACCAACTTATCTCTAAGAATCAGTTCCAAAACATATAAATTCGAAACATTATGAATCATAGATATACAGCCATCCGTACATACCTCACATTCCTTTCATCTTCCTTCATTTCTTTCTTCTTCTCGCACCATATAAATGGGACTTGCAAAATAGAAACATGAAACGGCCATAACGGTTAAAAGGGTAACCTTTTGGCTCGCTTCCAACAATGATCTCAGAGTAGAAAAGAAGAAAAGAATAACCACCTACAAGCTAGTTGCTTTAAAATTTTGATCCCAATTCCACATTTTGAATTCAATGCTTTAAATCAGATCATTGTACAGGAAACTAGCTAATAGGTAATCATTCACAATCGTGTCAGTGTTCAACTTATGGGTATCAAATATGTTACCTTTTAACTTCGAAATGGCTAACAACTCTCTAAGAGAACAAATGACAACGATATCAAACGAATAAATGAAGCATTACTAGACAACATTTGAGGCCTCGAACGCAGACAACATCTAAAAGCAGATTTGCATCCTCAATATTCAAGATTATTGGCCTGGAGGAGTAAAAGAAAGCACTAGCACATTTGAGAAGTATAACTGTGACTATATATAGAAATGGCTCAAAAGTGGAGATTTAAATAATATTGCAACCTCTCCTGATGTATAAAATGTTTAATTACACTTTGTTAATATGCTCGATCTATGATAATTTGTGCCAAATGTACAGGCAATTTCAATAAATTTGAACTTGTATGGTTCCATAATTGCAAACCAAAGTTCACATGTTGAGTAATGGAATCAGCTATGCACAATATCAGCAATGTGAATAATAGATCCAAAATTATATAAATTACATCTAACAGTGGTAATGTAGTAGGTTATGGCTTGATTTTATAGCTCTTGTCGAATTGTTAACAATGATTGGCCTTAGCTCAAATATGTCAAGCTTATAACCACCACAAAGCAAATAGTGTTCACAAAGTTAAAAGCTGACCCATGGGTACTTCAAGAAACAAGTATCAGAATCTTTTAAAGAAATTTATGATACCATAAGACTGAAGTTGAATATGCATAAGTAGTTTAGCAATGAATCCAAATGAAAAGAGTTCCGAGTTTGCCCCAGACATTTTTAGGACGCTTGAAATTCACAAGGAAGTATTTTGCAACTATCACATTTAATAATCTGCACATCCTTTGAGAACACCCTGAAACCAACCAATATATTCTCCACTTCTAAGGTCCAACCAACATGGTGCACATCTCTATCATTATGAATGTCAATGATGTTAAAACATCTAATCACGAAACCACCCCACATTTATGTTACATTCTTATGGCACAACCAAGATCACCCACCTTTGTAAGCCAGTAACAACTTCTCTGCATCATCTCTGTTCTTAAAAATGAACCTGTCTAAGAACTCATCTTCAGGAATGGATACAACATTAAGAAACTTCGGTGTTTTCTTCAAAAGCCTTTTTGACGCCAAAATATGTAAAATGTTGTACCGAGGAATCACCCTTTTCTCCAAACTAAGCATCAAGCACGTGGGACGGCGAACTAACACTGCCCGTTCAAACTTGACTGTATTCAGAAAGAACTCGATCCCAAGCTTTAACTTTGATTCTGATACTCTAAGCAATCCAGGGGCCCTCTTAAACATATCCAAGCATTCGACCTCAGTGAATCCAAGAGTTTGGAACAGTTGAAACTTTCTCTCAACTGTTTGATCACTCATACAACTAATACTATGAAGAGCATGAACCAGCATTCTAGAATCAATCGAGAACCCCATATCTAAAACCTTCGATACAAGAGCCCTAAGTTCCAATTCACCCATAATCAACAACCTTGGTTGCCTTTTCATAACCATAACAAGTTGTGACCCAACAATCCCACATTCCTCTAGATACTTGATATTAGCAGAAATTCTTGTCACGGGATTCTTCAGATCAACCCAATTACATCGTTTCAACGTTCGAATGATAGTCTCATTGCTATGATCATTCACCATAAGTTTTTCTATAACATCAACACAGGGTTTCAATCGTTCTTCAAAACGATTAGATAAGTAAACTGGATTTTTTGAAATAAACTTGCCCAGATCTGAACCAGTGAGCCCTAGATCCTGGAAAAACTGAATCCTCGGCTTTAGGGTTTCTTCGACTCCTGAAAAAAGGATCTGGGGAGATTCATTTACCCAAGCTCGAATATCAGTCTTGGTGAATCCAAGAGATTCAAAGAACAAAATAACAGATTGTGGATCGGTTTCGGTGGATGAAAAGCGATTGAAGAGTGATTGGGCTTTTGGTTTGGAAAACCCTAAGGAATCTGTAAGGTAACTTACAATGGAGGATTTAGCTGTCGACGAGGATGAAACGGAGTGAAGATAACGAGAGAAGAGAGTCGCCATTTTCGGCTTGCATAGCGAATGGTCTGAACAGAAGCCTAAACCCTGAATTGAGCGCGACGAGGTTTTTTTAGGGTTTAGGCCTAAACTCGTGAATTAACCGGTGGTTTTAGGCATCGGTGTCCATTCAAACCGTCAAATCATATAACTTGTACCTACGGTATAATAAAGCGTGGTTTGATTTTGTAAAAATTAAAAGTACCAGGAGGTCTCAAGTTTAAATCTGAGGAAGAATAAAAAAAAATTTGTGTCCATAGAAGTTCAAATGCGATGACTCCAGACTATCTACAAAGCATGTGGTCTCTCTGAAATTAGTCGGCTCGCATAACAGGTTGGATATCCAGGTTAATCAAAAAAAAGTTATAAAAAGTGTGGTCTATAACTTTTTTTGTATGATTTACGGTTCGCATTTTATCAAACCATGAGTTATCATATTGCGATTCAAACTGTAGCGCATTGCATATTTTGTATACTTTTTTAATTTTATATATAACATATATATATATAGAATAATTTAGTATTTATGTAATATTTTTGAACTTTTAGTTTTCGAATTTGATAAATTAACTTTAAGGTCCAAAATCTCATCATCCCATACGGCCATTTTGGAGTCGGGACTTAAGGAGCCAGATGAAAGAAGAAGTTGTAAACGTCACAACTCACATGTCTAACTTGGTTTGAACTTATACTTTTTATTTCGTAGACTATTTTTAATTATGCAATATATATTTGGGAATCGGATGTATTGAATTTTTTGGAGTACGGTCACTGTATCATTGATTTTATAATTTATTTTAAACTTATAATTTATGCATAAAGTGTGATCAGAGAAACCGCATAAACCACACTGCACCACATTTTGCAATGCGGTTTGAGGTTCATGCGGTGCAGTTTGCGGTTTGGGAAAATGCTCAGACTGCGTATGTGGTACGGTTTCACCCTAGACCGCACCACGAACACCCCTAGTTCTATATTCTACTTTCATCCTAGTGTCATATCGATGTATAATTTCAAAACATAACATAGGAAAATTTGAGTTTCTATGTTTAATGTCTTCCCAAGTATAGCATAATATGTTTAATTTTAGGGGTGTACACGGATTGGATTGGGTGGTTTTTGACAATTTTACAACCCAACATAATTATGACGGTTTGGAAAATCTCATAACAACCCAACTCATTCAAAAGTATAGACCAACCCAATCCTTGCGGGTTAGGACGGGGTTGGGTTGGGTTGGGTTGGGCGGTTAGCAGTATACAAAAACTTCTACCAATTCTCTTACTATGATAAGCATAGTCTTTTCCACAATAATTACAGATACATCTGGAGTTCTTTTTTAAAAAATGATTCCAAACGTTTGAGGTTCTACCTCTTCTTTTCATAGACATGTTGGGTTCATCATTGTTTTCGATTTTTGGGGACTTAGAAGTATTTTCTATTGCTCCTATGCATAGAAAATAGGATTAAAAAAATACAAATTTACAACCTACATATGAGATTTTTTTATGCAATAAAAAACCTTCTAAGAGCATTTATGGAATGAAACCAAAAATTTATGGTTCCAACTTCTAGTCTGATACATACTTCATATGTCCATTTAAGTTCATGCTTCTAGTTTGAAATTTATATTTTGGAACAATACTTCATATGTTCATTTATGCAATAATAAGAGCAATTTCTATATATATAAAAAAAACAACTTCTAAACATTTGTGGTTCCAACTTCCAAGAAAATTCTATGCAAGGGAAACTCATATACTAAAGTGCATATCGATCATTGACATCATACAACAGTGCTCGATCTAGTCGTTTCAGTCACTGGTGTTAAGAGAACAATGTGGGAAAATGGAAATGAAGCGTAACGACCGACTACTGGGTAACACATAGAGCGTCTGACTTAGTTGGATTAATCTTGGACTTGGCCTAGTTGATTAATTTTGGGATTTGGATTGTAAATTGATCTAATATATGTATATATATTTTTTGGATTATAAATTATAATGGTTGTAAATATTATATTTATATATATAAATATAATTTTATTGAAATAATATATATTAGTGGCGAGGCGGCGAGTTGGGTTGGGTTGGGTTGAATTAGCTAACCCAATTTCAACCCTCCCAATGAGCGAATTGGCGGTTTGACGGGTTGGGTTTAACTGAGTTGTTAACGAATTGGGTTGGACGGGTTTTGCAAGTTGACGCTTTTTTGTACATCCCTGTTTAATTCATCATAGTTTGATAGGTATGTTTTTTAATAGTTTTCATTCATAAACATTAGACTAAACTACAATATGGTCCAGTAGGTTTGTAAATTATAACACTTTTGGTCCCTACAGTTTTGAAATTAGAAGATAGTCATTATGGTTTGCAAAAACGATCGTATTTGGTCACTGCTTCTAATAGCCATTAACACTTAACCACTAACTTAAGGGTGTTTTAGTCTTTTCGGGTTTTTGTTTATCTCATTTTATATTAAAAGGAAAAAATCTTTATAATTTAATCCACTATATTAATGTCATTTGTCTTAACCCTATTTTTTTAACCCATGAACCTATTATGTCTTATCAAGTTCTTCTTCTCGTTCGATACCCTTGTTAAATTTGTTCGACATTTTCTCCAGACTTCCTCCAAGTTTAGTAACCGTATTATTGAATCCGTCAGCCATGGGATCTACTCGGCGTTTTCTCTTCTTACCAAGCTCACTTGAAGTTTCTTAGATTGCATATTTGTATTGCCACCTTGAATATTGCTAGTTGCTATCACGTCATCAGACTCGTCATTCATGTGCTGTGTTTGATCTTTTATATGCACCGCCTCTTCCGTCTCAACAAAATCTCTTGCTCTATTTCCTTGAGCCCGATCTTTTCCAAATACAATACAAAGATCCTCATAAAAAGGCCACGCTTTGTTTTCCTTTTTCCAGCCCCTTTATAGACCTATTTCTTAATAGAATAACATAAATACACATATAACGATAATTATATATCACGCAAATTTAAATAACAACGTTTTTTTAGCATGTACCTGAAGATTCGACTCCCAAACTTGGTCTTCAGCAACCACACAATGATTTACATTATCGTATATGAGGTTGTTAGTGTATGAGCCACTTATCATGTCATGTACAATAGTCCAATCTTTCTTCGTTATGTTTAATTTTGATTCAATGTGTAGTTTTCCCAAAATAACGGTGCCCGACAATGATTCTCTTAACGCTTGTTCAAGATATGTTAAATAACCCGATTTAAAGCCATTATTGGCTCTAAATGCACCCGTATTCACCATGGTAACTAAAATTTCAACAAATTTTGTCTATTCAATATTCGTTCATACTCGATAATTTCTAATTCGACTCGTCATACCTATAAACATAAATGAATCATTTGAAGTACAACAACATTTGATTATATATGTCCAAACTCCATAATTTCTATTGTAAACAAATATTAGATTTAAACAAACATTAGAAGTATGAGTTAAACAAACATTTGAATCATACATATTAATTGGTAGCATTCCAAGAAGCAAACATAGATTGTGCTAAATTATCCCTAAATGTTGTCCACTCATTTGAAGTACCAACAACATTTGTATTATCCCCGTCTTTGACTCCAAGGTCTCCGGTTCCCTCATCCACTTCACCTTCATTGTCAAATGGATCTATTGGCATTTCTTGCATTATAAAATTACGGAGGAGACAACATGTCATGGTGATCCTAACTTTTAAATTAATAGGATAATATGAGTTATCTCTTAAGATTCCCCACCTTGCCTTTAACATACCGAAACATTGTTCAATAACATTTCTCGCCGATGAATGTTTCATATTGAAAATTTCTTTGGCAATAGGTTTGTTGGTGTCCATCACACCAATCATTTACATGATATATTTGACCCCTATAAGGAGCTAAGAAACTTTCTCCATTTGTCTATCCGACATCAACAAAGTAATAACCTAATAAGAAATTAAGTTAACAAACCATCAAAACTTATACTTGTTAATATATAATAAACTATCAAAAACTATACCGGTCTTGGAACTTTAATCCATTAGGCCTAAGTAGAGCATCTCGAAGCACTCTACCATCAGTAAACGACCCCTCCCATCCCGGTAACATATATATAAATTGCAAATCTTGTGAGCACACCCCTAGCATGTTTGTTGCAATATCATTCTTTTTTGTTCTATATCTAGGTTTGTCTTCTTGTGGAACTAAACATTTTATGTCGGTTCCATCTAAAGCTCCTAGACAATTTTAAAACCAAGAAAAAAGGATCATTATATTTTCATAATAATTAGACTTATTTATGAATAAATCTTAAAAGAAGTGGAAATACCTTAAACCATTTCCATCTTTGATCAATAGAGTTATCAGGAACAGGTTTGGGTTTCTTAAGCAATCATGGATGTAATCTTATTCTGGAATTGCAAATTCGAGCAGCAACTCTACTAATTGTTTATCCCGAACGATGAAAACGACATATCATAACCCGATTCTTGACATTGTGAGCAACAATATGAAGAAACATGGCAACTTGTTCTTCAGTATTCATAAACCTTGTTGTTCTTAACCCTCCATATGTTTCAACCATGTCACACAACTTTTTGAAACACGTTCGAGTCATCCTAATTTGCGATATAGACATGGAGTTTTTCTCATAAATATACCTATGCAATATTGAGTACCGATTAACATTTAAAGAAGAGTATCCAATTTGTTGTTTATCTCTTTGTCACCATAATCATGCAAAGAGGCAAACAAAGAATACAACAACATGGAGAACTATGTTAAACCATTCCAACGATTCTTGTTTTCCTTTGACTGTGTAAATGTCTTGTTAAACTAAGTCGGTCCATTTCCTGTCCAATTACTCAAATTGTTAAACATATATTTAAATTACAAATATCGTACAACCTTTAATTACTCAAATTGTTAGATTAGGAATTTTACTAAATAAATCAAAGCAAAAAACACAAATTCAATACATGGTTGGTAAAAATGAAGCATGAAAGTTGTAGAAAGCATAAGCATGACCACAAGGACATTTAG